GTAATTTACTACAGCTTTCCATAACAATGAGGTCATTCTTTCACAACCATAGCACAAAGATTAAAATCAGAATATCTTACTTTGATGCATATTTCTGTCTAATCTATAGTCCATAATAAAATTTTATCAAGTGTTTCAATGATGACCTTTATAACTGTTTTCTCCCCAATACAGGATGCAGCCTAAGATCTCATATTGTGTTTCATTATGTCTCTTTAGCCTTCAGTCTGGAATAGTTCCTCAGTTATGTCTTTCTTGATGTTAACACTTCTGAAAAGTATAGATCTGTTATTTTGTAGAATGTCTCTCTAATTGCGTTTGTGGAATGTTTCTTCATGATTAGATTGACATTTTATGTTTCTGACACAAATAACACAGCAGTATTTTTTCCAGTGCATGATACCAGGAGGCATGTGATATCATGGTGTTCCATTATTGGTGAAGGTAACTTTTTATCATTTAGTTGAGTATGACAAGACTTTTGCTTTAAAATTACTGATTTCCCTTTGTAATAATTAGCAATTTGTGGGGCGATATAGTAAGTCTCTATAAATATCTGAGTCCTCATCAAACTTTCAATCACTAATTTTGGCAACCCTTAAATGGGTTTCTTCCTTTGTCATTCCTTCTCTGCATATTAATTGATCTTCTTTTGAAAAGAAAACCTCTTCCTTCTTCCTCATTTATTTGTTTATGTCGATACAGCCTGATGGATTCTTATTTTAGTTAATAGTTTTGATTATTTATTTTGATACACAAATTGGCCTAGATTCAGCTATTGGAGGCCCCTTCAAGCTAGGTGCCATATTACCTTTACCTGTTTCATTCATTCTTTGAGCACGTCTTTACTTTTTGGGTCAAGCTGTTCTAGGCTTATCATATACTTTTCCTGCCCATCCCTCAAATTATCCTTTCTCCAAGAAGCCCTGATTCCTTGAACCAAAGATGATATTTAGAAACTGACATATGGGAGCCAAGCATGTTTGTTCTACTGAGTGTTGTTTTTTCCCCTAGATCTTCTAAGTAGATAAATCTAGAAAATGTGTGTTTATGTGTATCTATAAGAGTGTGCGTGGTGGCTCACGCCTGTAATCCCAGCAATTAGGGAGGCCGAGGCGGGTGGATCACGAGGACAAGAGATCAAGCCCATCCTGGTCAACATGGTGAAACCCCATCTCTACTAAAAATACAAAAAATTAGCTGGGCATGGTGGCATGTGCCTGTAATCCCAGCCACTCAGGAGGCTGAGACAGGAGAATTGCCTGAACTCAGGAAGCGGAGGTTGCGGTGAGCCAGATTGCGCCATTGCACTCCAGCCTGGGTAACAAGAGCGAAACTCTGTCTAAAAAAAAAAAAAGGGTGCATATGTACCTTTTTATCTTATTTCATTCCATATCTGTTCATATTAAAAACTACAAGTTTGTACTGGTAATGTTAATCCCATTTGAACAGCATGGAGTACATTCGTGTCTTTATCCTTTTTTATACTTATAACTACTTTCTCTAACAGTGAGAAACCTGGTTTCAGTTAACTCAGTGTATATAATCATTTGCTCAAGTCTAGAATACATGGAAAGTAGTTTCAGAACAGTTGGCACATACCACTGCTGAAAGCAAACCTACTAAACTAGGATTCTATATTTGTTTACTTTTTTGAGGTACAGTGTACCTACAATCAAATACAGTTTTAGTTTTGACACATGCACATATCTGTGACAAGAAAGAGTACTTCTGTCACTCAAAAAACTCAGTTTCCTTACCAGCTAATTCTCTCTCCAACTCTGCTGCCCAAAAGCAGTCACTTTGACTCTTCACCACAGTTTACTTTTGCTGGTTTTAGAACCTTATATAAATGGAATTATGCAGTACATATTTGTGTGTGTGTGTCTGGCTTCTTTCACTCAGCATCATCCTTTTTGAGATTCATCCACATTGTCATGCATAGCCTCAGTTTCTTTCTTTTTATTGCTGAGCAGTGTTCCCTTGTATAACTATACCACAATTTACCCATTTTTCTGTTGATGGACATTTGGGTTGTTTCTAGTGTTTAGCTATTTTGAATATAGTAAGTGGCTGTGAACATTTTTGTACAGTCTGCTTTGTGGACATGATGATTTTACATCTTTTGGGTAAAATCTTGAGTAGAATGGACCATTGGATAGGTGTTTATTGAGCTGTATGGAAAACTACCAAACACTTATTCCAAGTTGTTTTTACTCCTATCTGCAGATAAATGTTCTGGTTGCTTTATATCCTTGTTCACATCCTGAGTTTTCAGTATTTTTCATTGTAGCCATTCTAGTGTTTGTGTAGTAGTGCCTCATTGTGATTTTAATTTGTGTTTCCCTGGTAACCAATGATTAAATGACTTCTGGACTTGATTAATGATTAAATGACTTTTTAATGTGTGTATTGGTCATCTGTATGTCTTTGGGAAGTTTCTGTTGAAGTGTTGTGATGATTCTATATTGTAAAACTAATTTTGGCAAATTTTAGCCCCATCTATGTGCTAAAAGGTTAGCTAGCAATGATTTGTGAAATGTGATCACAAAAGCCAATTTTTAATTGAATTGTAGAAGCTTTTAATATATTCTGAGTGCAAATTCTTTGTCAGAAGTATGTTTTCAGAATATTTTCTTCCAGTCTGTGACTTGCCAATTCATTTTTCTTAATGTTGTGTTTTGGTGAGCAGGAATTTTGAATTTGAGTAAAGTCTAATTTACCTGTTTTTCTTCTTTTATAATTATTGCATTCTGTATTTGGCCAAAGAAATCTTTTCCTACTCCTGATCATGAAGATTGTCTCTTGTTTTCCTCAAAATGTTTCTAGTTTTAACTTTTACACTGAAGCCTATGATCTACCTTGAATTAAACTTTGTACATAGGTATGAGGGTGGGAATTGAGGTTTATTTTTCCATATGGTCATTCTGTTGTTCCAACACCATTTGTTGAGAAGACTTTTTCTTTCCTTATTGAGTTAATTTTGGCAACATTTTGGAAAATCAGTTGCCCATATAAATGAGAGTTCTCTGAATAATTTTAATTAAAAATATGGCTTGATTTTCATTGAACTGCTACTCTATAATTCAAGCAACATTCATAAAAATCTACACTCAGCTTTCACCTAGGGAAAACCTGTTGTGGTTTGAACACTCTCTTCTTCAAATGCCAGGATAAATTGTTGTGTGTTTTGCTCTTGAAAGAAATCTGTCATGTGTGGATCTAGCATATATGCCACTTGCTTCTCTCAACATTGTCCTTTTGCCAAAATAAAAGGCTTTCTGGGTAGTTAGTTCTCTTTTTGCCCTACTGAGGAAAGACAGACTTTAATGTCATATAATAGTGCTTCATTTTTGTCAAAGCATTATGTGCTGTGATGCTTATAATAAATACAATAAAGGCAATTGACATGCCTTTCTTTTTTTCCTTTTGTTCATTTGTTCAGTATATATGTACAGAGCTTCCATTATAAACTATCTCACTGTGGGCCCATAGGGTGAATGACAGTTGGTTTTTTTTTCTGATCACATTTTATAAATCATTGCTAGCTGAACTTTTAGTGCATAGACAGGACTAAAACTTGCCATAATGGGTACCTTGCAGTCAGCTCATACAATATGCACAGAGGTACCCTTCTCCTACTCCTTGAAAGGACTAGGAAGCTGCCTTGGAGATCTCATGATTGGTAGTTCTGGGCTTTTGCAAAGAGGGGTCACAGCTCTCCTGACTGCTTACTATGTAGGATTTATTTTCCTAGGATTAGCAATTTTCTTTGTTGTCTGATACTGTTTACAGTAAGATACTTAAAGTTGTAGATCATTGTTATCTGTTCTTTCTCTTGTGTGCATAGCAGTTTAGGGCCTCCTCCTCTGTTAGTATGTCCAATGGCCTTTATGGTGAGAATGCACTGTCTGTAATTAGCTGTGCAGCTGATGATGTGCCTCCAGTAGCCACCAGCATGTGGCCTTGATAGCGTGTAAGTGTTAGAAAAAAAGTGTTGGGCAGCTGTTGTCCCTAATCCACAGCTGAACAAGAATAATGGCAGATGACAGGGCAGGCAGGCTGAAAGCTTCAATGAAGAGTTGCTTTCTGCAGCATCTTGTGTACAACAGCCTGTCAAAGATGCTTAGAGTTTGTGGTGGGAGCTCCACATGGCTGACAAGGCAGCAGCATTATGTTTGGTGTGTGGACATGTATTGAATTTGTATTAGCTTCTTTTGTAAGGCAAAGTGAAAGTACATAATGAAATGAATAACGTGTGTAGAAACATTGATTTTGTTTCATATTGGGGCATAGAGGCCAGGCCTGTTCTCTGCTCTGGTGTTTGAAAGGGGGCTATTTTGCCTTCATTTTGGAAACAAGCACATTCTCCCTTTTGTTGTCTCCACCCATCCAGGAAAGAGAGGCATCTGTTGTCATATCCATTATTTATCTATGAGAAACAGTTTTACTTAATTATCTTCTCAGCTGCTGCAGGACTGCCTTGGCTCTCTCCCTTTTGAAAGGATAATAGGACTCAATGCTTTAATACGTTTTAATTAGTGAGCTCATGGCACAGCTAGCACCTCACATTTGGCTTTTTAGATGGCTTTGTAGATAAGAACCTCTGCAGCAGAAAGAGAAGCCTGGGAGTGTGCAGGCTTCCTTAGAGCCACATTCAAGTCTCACAGCAGCTAAGCAAAGTGCTTATTTTCTCACCATCATTATTTCTGTCTGACTCTGCCAAAGTGACAGAGATTGCTTTTTAGGTTACTTTATGTGGGTCCTTTGCATTCTTGGGAAAATGCTTTATTCTCAGAGGCTGAGCTTTTTTGTTTTAAAACAAGGCATTTGAACCACAATAAGCTTTCGGCATTCTTGTGCTCTAAGTTTAGATTCCTTGATGAATGTTGAGATTCTGGAAGCCATATTCACAAGCTGCATTAGCTCATTCTCACATTGTTATAAAGAATGACCTGATATTGGGTAGTTTATAAAGAAAAGAGGTTTAACTGACTCACAGTTCCACAGGCTGTCCAGGAGGCATGGCTGGGGAGGTCTCAGGAAACTTACAAGCATGGCAGAAGGGAACGGGAAGCAAGCACCTCTTCACATGACCAGTAGGAGAGAAAGTGAAGGGGGAGGTACTACATACTTTTAAACCAATAGATCTTGTGAGAACTCACTCTCATGAGAACAGCAAGGGGGAAATTTGCCCCATGATCCAATCACTTCCTACCAGGACCCTCCCCCCAACACTGGGGGTTACAATTCAACATGAGATTTGGATAGGGACACAGAACCAAACAAGATCACAAGCCATAATGTCAGAAGCTCTCAGATCCAAGGAAAGGGATTCTTGGCTGGGACCATATGTGTTATGGCCTTGGGAAAAGTGTGCGTTCAGCTTGTCCCTGCATTATTAGTCTGTTTTTGCCTTGGTAAAAATGTAGGGGAGGGTTCTTTCAACATCGTATTTCTTTGTTATCAGAGAAATGCCCTTTGTGTTATCAATCCCATAAAGCAGGGCTTACTAAGTGAGGGCAGACCTGTAGAACCTGTGTAACTCTACTTGTCTACCCATCTAAGGACTGAAGAATTTCTGGGAGAGCGAAGTTATCACGTAGTCATTACCTCTTTCCTCCCATTAGGAGGGCCATTTATCCTGTTTCCCTCTCCAAAATCAAGCCCTAAAGCCAGGGAATATCTAGTCCAGTATCTAGTATGGGAGGTTTTGAAGGAGTGTGGTTCATTTCTTACTTACAGTTACTGTTGGCTGGCAACTCACAGAAGTGTCCCATGTTCTGCTACAGTGAAGTGCTGGGGCATGGGGTATCTAGCCCAACTTGTGCCAAAGCTTCATGAAATCCTGAAAGACTGGGAGTGAGGGGCTGTAATTTCCTGAAGTACTTAGTGTTAAGGATACAGAAGGTAGTTGAGTGGGAGGAATTGGTGGGCTTCCCTGGAAACTCTATCCCCAACTAAGTTAGGAGACACATGCCTGATGAGGCTGATGAGGGAGTGTTTTGCCTACACCTGCTGGGGTCTAGAGGAGTCACAAAAATTCCCCTCTCAGCATCTTGTGTACCTTCATCGAGAGAATGATGCCTGATAGCATGCTTTGCCTACCCCAAGAATAGTTGAGTGATAGAGGTTGTAGTATTCAAGCACTCATGTAAGGGGAGCTGACCATGCTCATGGTAACAATTATATATCACTGGCATCAGATGGAGAAGTAGCAATGGCCACCAGAAGGAGATTGCTACTGCAGAAGCCAACTGTGCCCTGTCTTCCCTCTACCCCATTGCTTTCTCCTTGCTGTCCTCAACAGAGCCAGTGCATGAGCACAGAGGAAAGAGAGCAGGCCACTTCTCAGCCCGTAACTAGTAACTGGGCATAAGTTTAATCCATGTTTGAGGGGTACCATGACATTGAACTGGACTGGGCTATAATTTAAACTGAAGGTGACTAGGAACATTACTGGTTTGGACTGAGATATCTCTAATTGGCAAGTTAAAGTTTTCTCCCAGCTGGCTGGGTTCCTCGACATAACATTAGTAATATTTAATGAAAAATGTAAAGTACCATGGATGAGATTCTGCAGCCATACCTGACACTATAGCAGATTATCATTGACTTGTAGCTCTAGTGTATCACATTTTATACCATTAAGTTCAGATGTGCATGGAAAATAGAGCTTTGTTTTTTCTAACTGAATCTCCCTTCAAGGCCCCTAGTCCAGTGAATTAAAGGGGATAGTGGACTAACTTCAGGACATCTAGACAAACTTTGCTTCTCAAATTTAAATGGGTCTCTTTAGGTAACTCAGGTTTCTTGGATATACGTTCCTTCTTTTTGATATGATTCTCTGCTGTTCTCTGTAGAGGCATCCAGGTGAACTGGAAGTGAGCAGGGCTTAGGGAATCTCATAGAGGGGAAGAGAAGCTGTTGAATCTGTGAGAACAGCCCTTGTATTCTGTGACTCCAATAGCACAACATTGTCCCATCTGGGCATCTAAAATGGAAGACCCAGTGTAGGGAACCTGGGATCGGTGATCTTGCCTGCTGGCTTCGCTTCACCTCACCCTGGCTTGATGCTGTGGATCTTTGAAGTCTGGCTGACTCCTTCAGCAATACACTATGCCACTTCCTCTGGCAAATTCTCCAGCCAGACACTGAACTGTTTCTGTGTCAGCTCTCGGAGATTTCTGAATCTTTTCCATACCTTACAGAAGTGCAGGTAGGCTGGAACATGCGCATTTAGACATTTTCTCCTATTGTCCTCACGGCTTTCTTGGAGTATTTTGGGGTGACTGGTGAAATAGTCTGATTCATCCCAGATTCCTCAACAGGAAGCTGAGTAGGAGCTTTTCACAGTACTTTTGGCTTATCCTTTAGCCGGTATAACATAACTTCTATCCTCTCTGGGAATAGCTTAACCAAGGGATGTTTAGACACATGTGTCTCACTGTTTGCTTGTCTCCCTCCTTTCTTCCTCACAATCAGCTGGAGAGTAATGTAGTAGGCTTTCTACTTCTTCTAGATGGACCAAGGTTTCCATTATGTCAGAATAGTTTCCAGGGAGCCTCGTTTTGGAGGATAAGAATACACAATGCCGTATTATCTCTGATACACGTGATCCTATTTAATTCTCCCCACAGTTCTGAGTTACAGTATTTCCATTTATAAATGAAGAAACATTTCTAGAAGAAGCTCAGAAAAGCAAAGGAAAACTCCAAGGTCACACATCTAGTCAGAGACAGAACTGAGATTTAAATGTCTCATTCTATTATGTTACCCCCTCTTCTCTCCAGAATGTGCAACTGTTCTAAGTCAGCTCTCTGTAGCAAACATCAACTTTGCCAGAAATTTAGCAATACAACTACTTTTTGATATGGGTCAGTAGATGATGTTTTGTTATTGTGATTGAAAACACTGAAATGATAGTGTGTTTCCTGTGTTTTTAATTAACAAACTGAAGCTTGTGATGTGAAACCAGCATGTGGGGTTTATCTCATATTGTATATTCAGCACAACACATGGAGTGGAGTTGGCACTTGCTTAGCTTAATAGCAAAGCAGAGTAATGAAAGCAGCAGCAGCAAAATAAACGTCTGACTCAGAATCCCCTGCAAATTGGTGACACTGCAGGGTTGAGTCAGATGCAGAGTCTGGGCCAGAGGACAAATCCAGACTGCTCTTCTAGACACCTTCAGGCATCTCTGGCAGGAATTGTATTTACATGACACCTTAATATTTACTGGGAAAGGGGTTTGAGAGCCTTCTCTTTCCTGGCTTAGAAAACCACCGAGAGAAAGGCTTAAGCCTTTCAGACTATGATTTGAGAGCAATGGAAGGCTTTTCCTAAATAGCCAGTTATGAAGGCTGCAATTACCCTGGATGTGCCACTTTTGCCTTACAGGTTCATTTGCTTATGTCTCCATGTGTGTGTGTTTAAAGATATCCTTTCCTAAGAAAGAGGAAAGATGTGTATTAACCAGGACAGTTTCACAAAGAGAGGTGTGATGGCTTGTAGGGATGGTTATCAAATATCACGTTTAACTTTCCATAATTCATGCAGCATTTTGCTTTGCATATGGACAATAACATGTTTTCTGTGAGGTTAATCTGGCTCTTTGGAGGTGTTTTTCAGTTAAATTCAGGGGGCTCCATATGGCGCTGTTTTTATTCTTGCATCATCTCTTCTAGGTGTTGATATTTAGACCTGAAATTAGTTTGCTCTTAAAACAGATAAAATATGAATGAGAATCATCTCATGTGTATGGATCTTTGTTGTGAAATGCAAAAAATTTATCCTTAGCACTTTATGCCATCAAATTATTTCAAACCATAGAGGAGTTCACTTGAAGGAATAGAATCTGTTCAATATAATCTAGATTCATCCTCTTAAAATACAGGTAAAATATGGGGCTGAAACTGTACTGAGTGTTACTAGCATAGACAGAGCTAGTTATTGCTCAATTTTCCCTAAAGATGGTTGGTTCTTCATGTTGTGAATAAAGCTGGATATGCTGCCTCCAGAAGCTGCTGCATAATTCTAGTGGATAGAAGTGGAATGGAGACCCAGAGTACATGATTGTTGGAGCTGACCTAATTTTTCTACTTCAAATCATTTTTATTTTTTACTCTGCATTTTATTTACCCAATCCATTTTATAGTTGAATAGTCAAGATGATAACTGATAGAATATTTCATTGCTAAGATTAGTTAAGAGTTACCCTAGAAAAATTACCAATAGGGGTATTACATTTTAAATTTTACTCTTTCCCTTCTAGGGCTTTTCTTGGAAAGGTTTCTTTCAAAGCAAAATACATGATATAATGATTAAAACAAACCCTATTTTTTTTTTTTTAAAAAGCTAGAAGATCAAAACACAGAATACCCTGCTCGAATTAAGTGGATTACATGCTTGATGATCTTATGTGGCCCTCTAGAGAATGCCAAGGAAAGGTTATTGGTGCCAGTGGCAGGGGGAGTTTATTTTTGTTTTTTTCATTTGGGTGATATTGACTGGGTGATTTGTAAAACGTGTCTCCTTTACCTCCCTTCTGCAGCTATAAAATATGGATAATACCTGAAATAGGAAGAGACGGGGTGGAGAGGAAACCAGTTTGATACTTTTTTCTTTACCTGATTAATATGTGAATAAATTTAAGAAAAAAATGCTTTTTTAAACCTTGAAAGCTTCATAGCTCTCCATTAGTGGAAACTATTAAATTGCCATTTTCCTATATCTTTAGCTTCATGCTACTGTTGATATGAGGCATTACAGTTTCTCAGGTCCTTTGAAAAAGACAAGGAACTATGTATGGAATTCTAAAAAGAATTGGCAGAATAGTTTTTTTTAATTTGGTTTATGAAAAATTTATCAGAATTGCCATATATGGTAAATGCATAGTTTCTATTAATTTGAGTAGAATCCTGAAAGTGAACTAGTTGAATGGGTCTCAATTGGGAGGATGCCCTACAGACATTTGACAAGTCTGAAGACATTTTTGATTGTTATGACAGGGGTCAAGTTTATGCAGTAATTGGTATTTTGTGGGTGGAGGCCAGGGATACTGCCAGACATCCTCAATGTATGGGGCAAC